CTTCCTTCCTTCCTTCCTTCCTTCCTCCCTCCCTCCCTCCCTCCCTCCGTTCCTTTCTTCCTTTCATTTCGCTTCTAACTCCCTCAAACCTAAACTTGACTACACGCTAAATAACTAAAAAGTGTTTTACCATACTTACTGCTATCTATAATATTCTTCTTTTGAAGGAGTGAAGAATGCCTATCTATATGAATAAGGAAAATCAAAACAAATCAAACATTTAAATTTTAGTGTATATATTCATAAGTTTTAATTTTGGTTTATGGGTTAACTGTGTAATTTCATATCCAAGATGGCGGGGATTCAAGAGTGTTTCTTAATGTTACCAAATGCAATAGAATTTGCTCATCTTTTTTATCTATGATCCTTTTTTTTCCTCAATAGCCATGCTTAAAAATTACTGATTGTTATATTTTCTTACTTGCAGCTCTTCGAGATTGAGTTTTAAAATGTGTTCCGCTCTTCGTTCTTTCTAGCTGAGAGACTGGAACTACAAAGATTTAAAAAAATCAATCAAAAAATTCAAAAATTCTCTCAATACTATTATATTTTTACCTTGAAATCTTTTCCTAAACTTTGAATTGATTGGAATAGGTACTGCAATAAATAGATAATGAATGGGTTAATACAGCGGTCTTCGTACGAGTGGAAATGGTACGGTTACGGACAATGCATCACGACCTGTTCACGTCACGGTACGACCTGCCCATAATAACACTGATTAAAATTGATACAGCTACAGTACGGCTTGGAAATTGCCCTTATCGTTTCTTACTTATACGAACACCGTCCTAAACGTTGGTTTTGTTTTGTTTTACACCCAGCACCCGACAACATTCCATTGCACATGCTAGCTGTGGCAATGATGAATATTTTTGTGGTTAATAATTTGGGTAATGTGAGAAAGTCTCATCACTAGTACAAGTAGTTTTTGGAACACTACGCCAGGCCTACCTCATTGCTGTGGCGCTGAAAATATTATAAAACATCTTATTCAAGTAGCTAGTATGTAACAAATTTTTTTAGAAATTTCTTACTTTTAGATCTTCTGTAGTAGTCTGCTAAAACATCTTCTCGAGAAGGCTTTGGAATATCTGTAGAAAAGATTAAAAAAGTATAGAGTTCACTATTAGTTGTTCACGTGACCTTTAGTGCAAGTCCTTAATGGTTGACCTTGTCTTTCACGCGAAGTTCAACTAAGGTAGAATGTTCAATAGAATATGAGAGTTTTTAACCTCACCGCTTGATCTTGATCTGTAGTTCGTAACAACAGGAACAGGAACTAGAGAAAGAAGAAAACTTCGGAGATTAGATAAAAAATAGACAGACAAACAGAAAGACAGAAAATGATCCTTATTTGTCCGATTAGACGTTACACAGGTAACCCATAGGCACATTTTGATGCTTACYACATGCATACCAATACTACGAAAAGGAACTTACTTCTCGATCGCCTTCTGTAATCGTCGACATCTTTTTGCGAGGGTGTTGGTACATCTGACAAAGAAACATAACATTAAAAAACTCAGTCTTCCATGATGAATAGTAAGTGTGGTCACTGTCCGCCATATTGGATGACAGATAAGTCTAATAAAAAGAAAGATAATATTGATATTTATTATTATTATCATTATATCATTATTAATATTATCCAAATATAAGAAATAACAATTTCCGTACTTGATCTGTCTCTCATTTCTGACGTTTCTCTCCATGAAGGCTTTCCATTGGTACCAACTTTGTACACCTCAACTAAAAGAAGACAAACAAATTCAAACTCTATTAAAGTAACCCCACAAAGAATATGTAATATGAAGAAAAAACAAATACGTATGAATATCTTACCTGCTTCAGAGTAAATAAAAAAGGAAGATAACAAAAAAACGAAGAAAACGTTGTTGGTCTTCATGAGGCCCAAGAGAAGATCCCTGAGGAACAACCTAGTAAATTAGAAAATAGTACACCTGATAAAATATGCAGCGTTATTATTCCTAAGTATTGCTATAAGCTTTAACAACTAATTACTTGTTTTTATGGGGCCCAAGTATTGACCCTTGAGGAACACCCTAGCAAAATAGAATAAAATGTTCTTCATGCAGAATATATGTTTAGGAAGCATAATCAGTGCTAATTTTAGAAAACAATTGTTTATTTACAAAATATCATAGTCATAATAACTAGTTATTCAAGAAAAACTCTCATCTGTAACTGGCAACGATATAAAACCTTAATATTATACGTTAAATTTTATATAGAACAACAATTTTTAAGGCTATTTTTTTGAATTTTACAATAATGAACAAGTTCTATTGGAGAGAATGACATGATTGCGAGAGGGTTGTATGAGCTGTCAAGTGTTATGATTGGCTGCACCAAAACAATAGGAAGCCATTCTAGTGCTCAAAACCTAAAACCGTACAAGCAACGTTATTTTTCTCAAACAGCAGCCAATATAGTTTCTAATGAAAGAAAATGCAAAATAATACTGTACAACTGATGTTACCGAAATATTGTTCACATCGATGGAAATATTAAGGAATGGTGCCTTACGCATGCGCAGAGAGTCACCAGCAGATTACGATGAAAAGTTGTATTTGAAATATTTCTAAGTGTCAATTATCGAATTATTAGAACACTAAATGAAAATATCTTATATAATATTATAAATATTTGGTTTAAAAATGATAATTCTATATAATATGGACAAAGAAATATTGTTTTACACTTACGGATTCGTTCTTTACATCAGATATATCAGTGTCGAGAAATAAAAAATATAACAAACTTACCTTAAATTATTTTTCCCCTTTGAAGATAAACTTTGTAGAACTTTAATATGAGTTTCGTAGAATAAATAAAGTCAGATCAGACCATTTTTCTCTCGAATACTTTGAGATTTTTCTTCATTTAGCCATGTTGAAGATTTTCAGGTTGATACATGACTGCATTGAAGGAGTGAACGATGTTTATAACGTCACTAATCCACATGTTGTACCACCCGTTCTGGTGTCAAAGACTAGAATACCAAACCACGACATAAAACCGAGAAAAACGAGGCGAGACATAGAACAAAGAAACGAGTCTTAATATCTCTAATAGTAATGTAATTGTGAAAGATTATGATTTTAAAAATCACCTCAAAATATTCAGGTGTTATCAATTTTCAAATTAAGTGAAAGATTTGCTTTCCAGGGAAAATAAGTGCACCGAAGCGAATCAAGACACATCACATGAAAAGAGCAACACAAAACGCCGTTTGTAAACTAGTGAAAAATCATGTAGCTAATCACGGTTTTATTCGTGAACCTAAAAACAAAGGGTAAAAAAAAAAAAAAAAAAAAAAATCAAGATAAGAAAACTTTCCATGAAGATTTTCAGACATGTGAATTCATATCAAACTTGATTTTAATTAAGTAAAATAAAATCTGTAGAATTGTGTTATACAATAAAGGTAATAAAGTATTTAAAAACTAATCTGTAGAATTTTTAATGCAAATCTACGTCGTTATATGTTACTTTTTGAAAACAAAAAAATATAATCTATAAAGGCTTATTACAAATCTTACTACGTCACATGTACGCAAGTCACGTGGCCATGTCTTTTTAGCTCATTATTGGAAAATAATTCATTGATAAATTTAACTCTTATTTAAACCATGCTGAACATATATGTGTTTTGAACTGTTCACTGAATGTCAGATGTTTAAAAAAAACTTCAATACTAAGTAGTTAATCAACTTTTTATCCTTTGCAATGGTGAGAAATGTGACGGTGTCTTGTGGGAGCATTCTGATTGGTCAAGCGGTGATGTCGTCGTCACAGTTCCGTACAATAGGCCAGTGTGTGACATTATATCAAGGAACGTTTCATGTCCATCAAAAGTTTCGTAATATATCTTCATATATAATTTCTGCCATCCTATCATATCCTTGTGGTTTCATATGCAAACCCTCTTCCCAGTAAAACATCTGTTTCTCGGTTGCTAAGGACGACCTTGGCAACAGCCCAGCCAAGTCGCTCAATATAGCTGCACCAGTCTCTCTCGCGTAATGCCTCAATCTCTGGTTCACATACAGTCTTTCCATATGGATTCTTTGGCACTGTGGCTTGTTACTGTGCTCGCAATCAATCTCGGGGATGGTGACAACGATGCTGTTAAAGCCGTGTTTGTGTGCTGTTTGGTGAGCCATGATGATGTCATGGACCACTCGGTCCCAGTTCGCCTCGGTTGGAGGTCGAGTGTCGTGGACAATGTCATTAGTACCCGCTAAGATGATCACCCATTTGTACCAAGTAGAGGCTGTAGGTACGCAATATCATGATAAAAATTCGTTCAATAATAATATTAAATTGCATGTGAAGGCACCCATAAAGATTGTAAAAGGAATCATGCTTTATGTGGTGCATCGTGGACTTGCTTGGGTACAAACATCTTTTGTTCATCATGCTTTATATGGTGTTGTAAGATAGTGAACATGGTGCATTGTGGACTTGCTTGGGTACAAACGTCTTTTGTTCATCATGCCTCATATGGTGTTGTAAGATAGTGAACATGGTGCATTGTGGACTAGCTTGGGTACAAACATTTTTGTTCATAATGCCTTATATGGTGCTGTTTGTACTCAAGGTAGACCACAATGCATCATGTTTATGAAAGTCAGAAAGGGGGAAATGTTTTCCCATTTCATACCACGTGTCATTCTCTAGAGTATCATTTCTTTGCTTAACGGTTGCACATGAGAAGGCACATGAATATGGATACAACTCAAACAAAGAATATTATTCTCAAGGGAATGACGCGTGGTATGAAATTTTGCTGTCTTGCTTGATCACAGACTTATAGGAATAAATGAATATTCAAAGTAATATACCTCTTTGGCTCTAGCATAATATTTTCTTACTTCAGACCACGTGTCATTCTCTTGAGAATAAGATTCTACGGACTATGCTATAAACATCTTTAAAATCATACCTTTTCGCAGATATTGATCGAGTCGTCTCGTCATATCGACAGCCATTTCCTTGTCTTTACCTTGGTTATCAACCACGAAGCATTTATGCGAGTCTGTGTTGAGAAGATACTCGAGTTTCTCTGTGTAGGGATGGTACTCTTTTCCTCCTCCATAGTAACCTCGTGTCAGACTGTCTCCAAACGCTAGAATACGCACCGCTTCCATTCCTGGTCAAAAAATTAAGCGTAATGTTGTGAAAAATTTCAATACACCAGTTTCGAATTCAATGTATACCGCTGTTTTTGAACACCAAATACTCATTTACACAGGTTTAGCCTCGTTTATAAATAAGCTATTCACATATACCATTAAGAGTCCGTGTTTATATGCTATTGACTGTCTACGCAGAAGCGTTGCCCAGCTAGTCCCCGCCCGTTTATACCAAGTGCTATTAATTGATGTACTTGTGCGTATATTTACCTCTTTTTATTTCGCAGACATAAGACCTCGCTTTATCGCATTTGGTTGCTTTGATATGACCCTTCTCAATCATCCCGCAATTCAAGTCTCCAATCGCCGCGACATCCAGGTCATTGAAGTTTGAAACCATATTGAATGGATTACTGTCCACCCAATTCCACGTATCTTTCTTCCTTTTTAACCCAATATGATATGGCGTGTCCAAAGTCTCTCGATCTCGAAGGTGAGCCGTGATAAACCCGAGTTCTTCTTCGGTCTTTGGCATTGCAAGCATTGCATTATGGGTAGCACATTTTGGCGGGAAAGCCATCCAACGGGATTTTGGGAAGTCAAAAAAGCCGTAACAAAACTCGACGTGAGATACCCAACCACGTGGACAACTGGAATCTTGAAAA